GCGATTAAAGGGAGTGGGTAACGGTTCTTAACAGTGATTTTATTCAAGCCCCTGAAATCAATGCATGGACGCAAAGTGGAGTCCTTTTTCTCAACAAAGAACAGGTCTGCCCCTGCAGGAGATGTTGAGGGTCTGATAAAGCCCTTTTCCAAATTCTCATCAAGCCACTCCCTTAGTGCCTTTAATTCAGGTTCTGATAAATTGAAAATGCGGCTGAATGGTATTTCTGCTCCTGGAAGCAGTTCAATGGGACAATCATATGGACGATGAGGAGGTAATTGATCCGCATTCTTTTTATCACAGACGTCTCGAAACTCATGATATTGTAGAGGCAGGTTGTCATATGACTGTGTAGTTACCATATCAGCCTGTGATTCCCTGATTGGTAGACAACTTGTAGCACATGGTTTCCTACAATGTTCCTCACAATGAAGGGATGTAAAATGTATGGTCCGTGCTCCCCAGTTGATGGAGGGATTATGGGTAGAAAACCAAGGGATGCCAAGATGACAGAAAAATTTAGGTGATGTAATCAGCTGAAAGCTGATGGTCTCAAAATGGTCAGCCTGAAATTGGAGTACTAGAGGAACCGTTTCACGAGTAACTGGTCCTGATGATAAAGGTGAACCATCAACTGTCTCCATATCAATAGGGGCAGATTTGTTTCTCCTGAGAATATTGTTATTGTGGGCAAACTCTATGTCCATAAAGTTTCCCCTAGCCCCAGAGTCAAGCATAGCAGAACAAGGAATTTCATGGCCCTCAGTGAAAAGTTTGATAGGGACAACAAAATGAGACTGTTTAGGACCAACTTTATCGATCAATGGGGAGATAGATTGGGTAATTGAATTTATGCGTTCAGGCAGGATAACATCAATCGCAGCAATTGTTCTTTTGACTTTATTGGGACAATTAACTGCATAATCCCCAGAGTCCCCACAATATAAACATAAATTCTCCAAACGTCTTCTCTCTTTCTCTTGAGTAGAAATGGATCTTTTAATAGCATCTACCTGCATAGGTTCAGGTGTGTTAGAATCTGAAGAAATGTTTAGATCCTTCTGACTGAACTGATTAGCAGAGAAACGCATGCCACCATTACTTTCAAACATTCCCAATCTCTCCTTTCTTCTTTCTGTAAGTCTCTGGTCAATCCGAATGCATAATTGGATGAACTCCTCAAGATCGTTAGGAGTCTACTCTGGTGAGCTCATCCTTCACCTGTTCAGAGAGCCCCTGCCGGAAATGACTCTTTTGCGCTGCTGGGTTCCAGGTGGTATCTGAGATCCATCGTCGAAATTTAGTTGTATACTCCGCAACAGGGCGTCTACCCTGCTGCAAACTATGCAGCTTTGCTTCAGCGGTAGCGCAGCGGTTGGGATCATCAAAGACCTAGTTCATTGCCGTCACAAAAGTCTCAAAACTATTTAAAATTGCATTGTTTTGCTCTATATAAGGGGAGGCCCAAGCTAGGGCTTCCTCAGTCAGAAGGCTCACCTGAGGTGCGGGGTCTAAGTATTAACCGGTTTTCCCCAGAGCTCCTAATGGTGGAGATGGAATTGGCTGCGTGTTAATACCAGGTCGCAGATCTCAGGCTCACCCCACCAGGGAATGAACCAGCTGGAAACCGATAGCGGATCAAACAGTTTAGGGATCAGACAGTAGTGGAGTCAGTCACAAGCCAAGGGTCGGTCACAAGTGGTAGCAGATGAGGATGAGACGAAATCGTAGTCAGTAACAAAGCCAAAGGTCGGTAGCGAAGATGTAGACGGCAGCAGGACAGAGAAGCGGGATATTGGCTGGTAGGCACAATAATCTGGCAAGGAGGAAGTGCAAGGACATGGCCTTTATAGGAAGTTCATGGGAGGAGCAAAGAGTTCAAGGTTCAAGACAAGCAGGGCCAAGGCAGGATCATCCAAAGAATTGTAAAGGGAGTTGTCCAGCATTCCAGGTGGCTCAGTGAGAAGAAACATTGCCTCCCACCGCAGAAGGCCTAGGTTCAAGTCCAGGCCCTGACACGACACCGTAATCTTTAAAGGGATCCCACCACTCCTAGAATAGCCTAAAAAAATTCAGCCTGTAGTTTAATATATCCTGTGCTGGCTTACCTACAAAATATACATATTTGCCCCTTTTTTTCGTAACTCATGTTTAAATAAATAGTTTAATATAAATAAAAAAAGTTACAATAGACATAATACAAGAAAACAGGTGTTATAAAAAAAAAAAAAAAATTAAATAAAGATTGTGTAAGGTTTTTTAGATATAAAAATATGGTGTATATTCCTATCTGGAACTTGACCCCAACAATATGGAGCATAATTGAATTTCAGACATCAGTCCTGATGTTGTTTTGGTGCAAAGCAAAGTCCTGTGGTTAATAAGGGAAACTTGAGACAGCATGGGGAATATTTGCAGATGAATCTTCTATGTGCATGTTTTTTTTTATATGCCTTTATATTTCAATGAAATGTGGTAGTGTACAGCAAAAAATAGCACAAGGTAAACAGGTAAAGTATACAGACATAGACATTTCACTTCAGCTGAGGCAAGAGTGGAGAAACATGAGTACAATGTACATACATTGAGAACAGATAGTAGACGTCAAAGCAGAAGCAGGTTTAGTACAAACCACTTGCAAAGAAATATGGCACTGACATTACTATTTTCACAACCAAAAATGTTCTTTGTAAACAGACTACTTGTTAATCAAGAGTTTGAAATAAAATAGGAGTAAGGACAAAGATAGGCCCAATCCCAGTAATATCCAGGAAGAGGTGTTCCAGGAAGTGATAGTTACTTAAGGAAGGCGCTAGTCCCTTTATAAAAAAAGAGAGGAAGAATATTGAATGATAGTCAAGAAAAGGGGAGAAGTCTGTCAGGTAGGGAGTTCCTCTCCCCAAGCCTAGGAGGGTACCAAAGCCAACAATTTGCAATCAGATCTGCAAAGGGAACCTACATTCCAGGCCAACACCATATACATTATATTGCTAAACGTATTGGGAAACCCCTCCAAATCATTGGATTCAGGTGTTCCAATCACCTCCATGGCCACAGGTGTATAAGATCAAGCACCTAGGCATGCAAACTGCTTCCACAAACATTTGTGAAAGAATGGGCTTCTCTCAGGAGCTCAGTGAATTTAAGCTTGGTACCATAATAGGTTGCCCCCTGTGCAATATTCCATCCGTAAAATTATCTTGCTACTAAATATTCCACAGACAACTGTTAATGGTATTATAACAAAGTGGAAGCAACTGGGAACAACAGCAACTCAGCCAGAAAGTGGTAGACCACGTAAAATGACAGAGCGGGGTCAGTGCATGCTGAAGCGCACAGTCTGCAGAAGTCTCCAACTGTCCGCAGAGTCAATAGCTAAAGACCCCCAAACTTCATGTGGCCTTCAGATTAGCACAACAACAGTGCATAGCGAGCTTCATGGAATGGGTTTCCATGGCCGAGCAGTTGCATCCAAGCCTTAAATCACCCAAGTGCAATGTAAAGCGGTGACGTGGTGTAAAGCACGCCACCACTGGACACTAGAGTGGAGTGTGTTCTCTGGAGTGACGAATCACGCTTCTCTGGCAATCCTATGGATGTGTCTGGGTTTGGTGGTTGCCAGGAGAACGGTACTTGCCTGACTGCATTGTGCCAAATGTAAAGTTTGGTGGAGGGGGGGGATTATGGTGTGGGCTTAGTTCCAGTAAAGGGAACTCTTAAGGTGCCAGCATACCAAGACATTTTGGACAATTTCATGCTCCCAACTTTGTGGGAACAGTTTGGGATGGCCCCATCCTGTTTCAACATGACTGCACACCAGTGCACAAAGCAAGGTACATAAAGACATGGATGAGCGAGTTTGGGGTGGAGGAACTTGACTGGCCTGCACAGAGTCCTGACCTCAACCTGATAGACCCCTTTGGGATGAATTAGAGCAGAGACTGCGAGCCAGGCCTTCTCATCCTACATCAGTGCATGACCTCACAAATGCGCTTCTGGAAGAATGGTCAAACGTTCCCATAGACACACTCCTAAACTTTGTGGACAGCCTTGCCAGAAAAGTTGAAGCTGTTATGGCTGCAAACAGTGGGCCAACTCAATATTGAACCCTATGGGCTAAGACTGGGATGCCATTAAAGTTCATGTGCATGTAAAGGCATTTATCCCAATACTTTTAGCAATGTAGTGTACATGTACTTGGTGCGAGAAGATTATTACCCAAATAGTAACTGTTTGTATTCATCTGTACATTTGAATTCTAACCAATAGAACCAAGGGGTTGATTTACTACAACTGGAGAGTGCAAAATCTGGTGCAGCTGTGCATGGTAGCCAATCAGCTTCTATCTTCAGCTTGTTAAATTAAGCTTTGCCAAAGAAAAAATGGAAGCTGATTGGTTTCTGTGCAGAGCTGTAACAGATTTGCCACTCACCAGTTTTAGTAAATCAACCCTCAAGTGTTTCTGAATTTGTCATTGGAATCTTTGATTGAACTGGTCAGGTTATCCATCACTCTAATGTCCTCAACTCAGTGCAGCCTTTGTAATAGGTGTACAGGATTTACAGTTCACTGGTATTCAAGAGTGCGTAGCATTTACCAATTAATTATAGCTGACTTTTTATTGACTTTTATTGGGATGTTGTTGTGATGGAGAAGGAAATATGCAAGGTCTTTTAGGTATAGAGTACTTAGTGAATTTTTGAACAATCTAGTGTACTTGAGTCCAAAAGGACTGTAGTGCAGGGCATGACCAGATGATATGGAGTAGATCACTGTTCCCAGCGCCAGTAAGAGTCATTTATTGGGGGGAGTAGGGAGAATGTATGAGTGAGGGGGTAAGATACCACTTTGTCATTAGCTAATAACCCAGATACATGTATTCTTAATAATAGAGATTTGGTTCCCCATTGTTAGGTCCGCTTATGTATTTAGGTTATCATATTTTATACAAAACATTAGCATGCTTATTTTCTATTTTGCTTTCTGCTTTTGTTTACAAGGTTAAATTGCGACCACCTAACAAGCTGGCTACTGCTAAGGATAAATTTGAAGTATTTTATCCTGAAGAGTCATCTGTGTGTCCTACAACTGAAAAGTTAATTCAAGTAAGTACATTGTTCTGTCATGATGATGTATAGGTATATCTGCTTAGCAATACTGGTCTTCTGCACTTGATAAATCTTTCAAATTTAGGGAAGGGTAGAGGGCATCTGAGATTTTTTTTCACAAACCTCTTATTAAAAAATCTTGGTTGACAATATGAATAACAATTCCACAGTAAGTGTTAGCAAACAGCATGTTACATAGACCATGAAATGCAATCTTTCATACAGTGATATAAAGACTGAGCCAATCTCGACCAAGAAAAACAAAATAAACAAAACACAAGAAAAAAAAATACAGTAATACCTCGGTTCATGAACATAATTCGTTCCACAACTCTGATCATGAACCAAATAGGTTGCAAACCGAGGCAAATTTTCCCATAGGGTTCAATGTAAATCATGTTAATTTGTTCTGACCCCTACAAATGTGGTCGAGAACTGAATTTGGTCGCCAACCTAATCACATTTTTCCATAAGGTTCAATGTAAATAAGGCTAATCTGGTCTCAACTTTTGGTTTTTGAACCACAAAAATATGAAACAAAGTACAGTACAGTATGAAGAGAGAGAACACTAACTTTGCTTGAGATGACTTCTGGCGTGGAGAACTGGAAGGCGGGTGGGAGGCAGTTATTGTTTGGAGAGAGAGTCTCACTCCAAAAGGACATTGGGGAGATCTCCTTCAGGGTTTTCTCTCTTCTTTGTCTCTTAGCTGCAGGCTAAGTTTTGGTGAAAAATCTTTGCAATGTCACTTTTCTTTTCCTGTGCTGCATAACCCTCCGGAAATTAGAGACCATTTTATCGTTACAGTTATGTTGGAGTGGTGCTTCTCAGAAAAATCTTGGCACTCATTCCATTTTTCCATAATGGATTTTATGGCATCACTGCTAACCTCCTCCCTGCCTTCCTCTACCTCAGTGGAATGCTCCTCAGTAAGTGCCTTCTGCTGTTCACTGTGGAGTTCAGAAAGTTCTTCCATGGTCAGCTCCTCCTTATGTTTCTCAACAAGCTCCTCTATGTCTGCACCATTGACATTCAGACCCACACTCTTGCCCATGGACACAATCTCCTCCACTACCTCTGCATCAGACTGTTCAAAGTAATGTTCAGTGACACATTCTGGCCACAGTTTCCTCTAGGCTGATTTTAAAATCCGGTATGTGACATTTTCCCAGGCTTTGTCAATGATGTTGATGCAGTGGAGAACATTGAAATGTTTCTTCCAGAATTCTTTCAGACTCAAGGACGTCTCTTCAGTGACATTAAAATACCTAGTGAAGAGCGCCTTTGTGTTCAGCTTCTTGAAGTTGCAGAATCCCTTGCTGGTCCATGGGCTGCAGAAGAGGTGTCGTGTTGGGGGGGGAAGGAACTTGATCTTTATGAAGTCATACTCAGTGTCCATATTATCCACCAAGGCTGGAGGGTATGCTGGGGCATTGTCTGTCAGAAGAAGGCACCTTTCAGGAAGTTGGTTGTCAGATATTTTCTTAGGATGGGTGCGAACACCTCGTGCAGCTATTCCATGAACAATTGCTTTGTCACCCAAGCTTTCACATTGACCCTCCACATGACTGGTAGTCTGGCCTTGTTCACATTCTGTTCCTTGAATGTCCAAGGAGTCTGGGAATAGTACACCAGTAGTGGCTTAATCTTTAGATCTGCGCTTGGGTTTGCACACAGCAAAAGGGTCAATCTGTCTTTCATGGGCTTGTGCCCCCGCAATGTCTTTTCTTCCTGCGTGATATAGGTTATGTTCAGCATCTTTTTCCAGAAGAGCCCTGTTTCATCATAGTTGAACACTTCTGCCTTCATGAATTCCGCCAATTCTTTCTTGTAGGAATCTGCAGCGGTCTTGTCAGAACTGGAAGCCCCACCATGTCTTGTCACACTGTGGATGCCACTTCTCTGGCAGAATTTTTCACTTGCTGTACTTGCAGAGGGTTTTTTTTGTTTTGTTTTTTTTTGCAGTAAATCACTGTGCAATTTCCTGGCTTTTTCATTTCCATAGATCATAGCTTCACTAATGCTATCACCTGTCAGCTGTTTCTCATTCAACCACACTAACAAGTTTTTCCACCTCTTCCAGCGCTTGTGTCCTGTGCTTGGTTAACATAGTTACTCCTTTTGTCACATCAGCTCCTTTGATAGCAGCTTTCTTCTTCAAAATAGTCCAGATTGTCGACTTCGCCATCTTGTACTTCGAGGCCAGATCAGTCACACGAATACCACGGTCATGCTTTTCCACAATTTCCTTCTTCAACTCAAGGATTATTTTCTTCACAACCTTATTCTTACCTTTCTTGCGCTGCGCGTTCTTGTGTCCTTCATTATCGCTCTGCGTGTTCTTGTCACCTTCATTACTGCTCTGCACTTTCTTGTCACCTTCATTACTGCTCTGCACTTTCTTTTTATCACCATGCTTGCTCTGCACATTCTTGTTACCTTCACTACCGCTCTGCACATTCTTGTCACCTTCACTACTGCTCTGCATGTTCTTGTCACCTTCGTTACTGCTCTGCACATTCTTGTCACCTTCATTACTGCTCTGCACATTCTGGTCACCTTCATTTGTGATCTGCGCGTTCTTGTCACCTTCATTACTACTCGGCACTTTCTTTTTAATAACATGCTTTCTCTGCACATTCTTGTCACTTTCATTACCGCTCTGCACTTTCTTTTTACCACCATGCTTGCTCTGCACACTCTGGTCACCTTCATTACCTCTTTGCACTTTCTGGTCACCTTCATTACTACTCTGCACTTTCTTTTTACCACCATGCTTGCTCTGCACATTCTTGTCACCTTCATTACTGCTCTGCACATTCTTGTCGCCTTCATTACTATTCTGCATGTTCTTGTCACCTTCATTACTGCTCTGCATGTTCTTATCACCTTCCTATCCGCTCTGCACATTCTGGTCACCTTCATTACCGCTTTGTGCTTTCTGGTCACCTTCATTACCGCTCTGCACTTTCTTTTTACCACCATGCTTGCTCTGCACATTCTTGTCACCTTCATTACTGCTTCGCACTTTCTTCTTACCACCATGCTTGCTCTGGATGTCCAATACAGTATGTACTAAAAAGCACACAAAAAAACTTTACAGCAAGTGTGCACAGGGATGTACTGTACAGTATGTGCTAAAAAGCACACCAAGGGGGTGCATGCGCGGCAACCCAAGATGGCGGACGTGTGAGGGGTGAACTTTGCCAATCCTCTGACTGTATCGGCCTCCCGACACCCTTCCACAGCAGCCATAGCTTCAGGAGTGCTCTCACTCGTGTCAGGATATACTCAGGCACACCCATGGGCAAAATTGGGAGATGGAAGCCACCCACGCCACCTCCTCTGGACCCAAGGCTTTCCATGCTGGATTGCTTCTTCACTAGGCCTGCATCCCCGGCCTCGAGGAGTAGTTGCATCGGCCCGAGTGAGTGCTCCGGAGAATCCGCTGAAATGGCGGGGACAGACACAGATGCCCCTGCTGCCTTGCTTTCTACGCCAGTGCCCCCCTCTCTGATGATGGATATCCTGGAAGACAAATGGCAAGTATTTTTACATAATATCACCTGCACTACCTCTGCTGAAATTGGGAAATTGGCCCAGGAGCTTAGTGGGAAGATTACTCAATTGGGAGATCGCACACACCACCTTGAATCAAAGTTCGATGAATTGGTGCAATATGTGCATGTCCGATAGGATGATAACGCAAATTTAAAACATTCCATGTCCAAGTTACAACTCCAAAAGGAGGGCCAGGAAAACAGGGAGCACCGCCAGTATATTTGTGTTTGTGGCATTTCTGAAATGGTTCCTGACTCCAAACTTAAACGCCACCTGCTGTTTCTGTTCACCACTCTGGCCCCCAAATTCCCAGATGTTAATCGGCATATGTATCCGGCCCACAGGTTGTTAGGCCCGAGGCCTCCTGAGGGAACTAGGCCCAGAGATGTTATTATTCATTTCCATTACTTTGACAACAAAGAAGCTTATCACCTGAAATTTAAGGGAGACAAGCTCAAGTGATCTATCCCCCATTACTTTGGCAAAGTAACGCGTCTTAAAGCCGGTCGCCACTCATCTTCAGCAGCACTGGATCGCTTACCGGTGGGGATTTCTTTATTCTTTTCCCTTTTTATTCCCCCCTTTTTTTTTTCTGTTTCAATATTTTTATTAATTGTAAGCTCCAAGGAGCAGGGCCCTCCTATCCCTCTCGTATTGAACTGTATTGTTGCTGTATTGTCTCCCGTTATATTGTAAAGCGCTGAGCAAACTGTTGGTGCTATATAAATCCTGTATAGTAATAATAATTAAAGTTTTGTTTTAAGAATATAACAAGCTCAAGATACGCCCACGCAGGGCAGAGCAGAACAATAACACATAAACAGATACATCCTGCTGACTTGTATTAGCCAAATAACGAAATGCCCAATGACATCTAGCAGGGACGGCAAAAAGAAGAAAGGATAAAGAACATAAAATGACAAAAAAAAAAAAAAAAAAGAAATCAGAAAAAAAAAAACATGGAAGAAAGAGAAACTAGAAGAATCACAGATCCAGGGCTAGCACAGGCAGCGACTATAGGAGGCCATAACTAGTAGGAGGCAGGGATGGCAAGGAATAACTTATCCAAGGTTCCCAAACCTTAAGGAATCTCGGATGAGAATCATGAAGAATGCTAGACATCTGTTCATTGATCAACATAGCATTCATCCAGGTCTTCCCCCTGGAAGACACTGAAGGGGTTCTCCAAGCTTGAGCTATAGCACGTTTAGCCGAAATAAATAGGTAGGATGCCAATTTCTGCTGAGACCTAGACAGACCCAAAATTGGGCAATGCAGAAGGGCCACTCTTGCATGCCTATGGACTGTAATATGAAATAGAGTTTGTAGCAAACCAAAAACCCTAGACCAGAAGCCTATCAATCGCAGGCACGACCACCAAATGTGCAAAACGTCCCCGCGTAGACCACAGTTCCAGAAACGCCTATCTCCACCAGT